TAGTAGTAGTAGTAGTAGTAGTAGTAGTAGTAGTAGTAGTAGTAGTAGTAGTAGTAGTAGTGGTGGTAGTAGTAGTAGTAGCAGAAGCAGCAGCAGTAGTCGTAGTAGTAGTAGTAGTGGTAGTAGTAGTAGTAGTATCAGCAGCAGCAGCAGCAGGAGTTGTAGTAGTAGCAGCAGCAGTAGTAGCAGCAGCAGCAGAAAGAACATCTTTAGCCATATCTTTCGCCAACATAATACTTTCGCCAATTCGAGAAACAACTTTCGCCAAATGATATTTTGATATGCTCCAGGGTCATCGTCATCAACAATCCAACCATATGCCTACATTGACCCCCCAGACAACAAAATGTTAGCATATATGGCATACATGGAGTGTATGGGCTAGAAGTCAAAGACCATGTTTAAACTGGTTCATCTGTTTGGTAGTGTAAAACCCTTAGTAAAACAATATAAAACAATGGTAGTTCGGTAGTTTGGCTATTGTGTTTCGACCATCGGACAACGAACAGCACACCCCCGACATGACCGGCGATGAATCCGTGCCACTTCGAGCTACAAGATCTCAGGAAACAAACGAATGGTCATACGATGTCATACATACCCTTTGATGCTACATGTTTTTTTGTGGATGGAACGTATACGGCACAATCACCAAAAGGTGGCTTTACCGTGTTTTTGTTGATCCCCATCTGAAAAACATGTATGGCGTTCCGCCATTTACTCTGAAACCATTGCAATTATAACGAGACACTATTTGTTTCCTGCTGTCTTTGGCATGTCCTTTTTGTGTTGGGAGCGGGGAGCCGCCTAGTCAATATCCACTGCTGGACCCCAGTTCTGGACCGCCTCATCATGCCTCGGTTTTGTCTGGTACATGTGCCTGTTTACGGTAACTACATGTAACTACCACAAAGATTCACCCTGTCAATCAGTTGGGTAGCAAAGCGGCTCACCTCAAAAAAAACCTGCACCAGGAATCATACAGGAGTGGCTTTTAGTTCCATCGAGTGAGTGGATGTTCTGGGCACCCCTATCCTCCAAGTTCAGCACCCCTTTGGAACTGCTGGATAATCTTATTAACTTTATTTGGATATGGGCGCCCAGAACATCCACTCACTTAATTAGGGACTAAACACCCTAAAAAAACAACCCCCTTGTCAGGTCCTGGCCATCTTCCTCTTCAATTATCATCTATCGAGTTCCCAACCTCGCTGTTGGTCGGACACCTCCAGAGCACCGGTGACTTGGTGGTTCGTTTTTCTCCCCAAACACGGTCCGGGGTCCTCCTCGGGTTCTTCGGTCGCTCCGGACGGATGGTGTCGGGAGTTTTGTTTTCGAACTGCGGAGCCGAGTGCCTGGGTGATGGGCACCAAGCGTAGCAGATCCACCACGATGTCCGTTGCGGACTGACCGGGTCGGGCGATGGGTCGAGGAGTCGTCCCGTCGACATGTCTCATGGGTGGTCGATGGGTCGATGACGGTCGAGTCGGAAAACATCGTCTTCCTGAGCTGGACGTGGCTTAACAGTTCCTATGTGTTTGATTGAATAGTGAATAGTGCTACATCAAATACACAAAAGTGTATATGGCTTATATATCAGCGTGCGTGGACTTTGCTCAGGCCTCTTGGATTCTTTGGGGATGTTCCTTTGGTGGTGCCAGATTGAAGCATTGCCATGGCCTCTGCACAAGATGCAACAAGCTTTCTCGATCTTTCTTGCATATGATCAAAAGCATCAATCAAGACTGTTCAATGTTGTTCAGAAGTGGAGAAGGCCACCTTGCGGAAGAAAACGGGGGATGACCGAGCAACTGCAGTAATTACATGGACTTACGCATCCTTTCAGAACAGCGTTCTTTTTCTGAATGGACTTTTCGAACCAGTCAACATCTACAAAAAAACACAAAGTGCAGTTGTCCCTAGGGATCCAGTCGTACCTTCTCAGGTTCAGTACTTGGACCCTCCACACCCTACATGTTACGTGTCTCCGTCCTCCCCGTACCGACTGAAGATCCCTGAAGATGGTGTGGGGGGCACCCGTGCAGTCGGACCTAACAACCAGCCACCCAGATCCTTCCAGAGCCACGAAAACTCATTGAACGGTGGAGTTATTTGTACCTCGAAACGAGGAAAACTGGAAGTGGACAACCACCTGTTGGTAGATGAACCAGATCATCCAAGGATATCCAAGGGGCCATGGCATCCACTTCGAACGTGAGCCGGAGGGTACATGGCAGGGCTTTGCAACTTGGGCCTCACACTCACAAGCTGCAGCAAGTTATAGGAACCGACGGAACCCAACACTGCCCCCCTCTACAAACCAAATGAACCATATTATATCAGTGTAACTCCCATGCCCTTCTACAACGCTGCTGTCCTCACAATTTGTGAATCTTTCTCCCTTCCCAACCTCCCCTTTCCTTCCCTTTGCCTCTCCCCTCCCCACCTTTTGCTCCTCACAAAGGCCACAGCTTTCTTGGCACACCATGCCTCATGGGAGCTCCCACGGGACAAAACCGAACAGAACCGCTATGCCCCTCGTGGGTCGCGAAGAAAGCGCGCGAGGCGCGTAAAAACAGTGCCCCCCCGCGCGTTGGGTGAGGTAACGCGCGTGGGCTGGACGAGCATGTAGGTCGGGAGTGGGAGATGGAGCAGGAACGGGACTTGGAAGGTCCGCTCTTAGATGACCTGGGGTGCCCAATATTCCACAGCTGATCTACATCATCTACCGATAATTCGACGGTGATCAAGGAAGTAAAGTAATATCAGTGTAGCCAAGTGCGTTCAATCGGACCCAAAGGTACGACTCATCGATAATTGCTCCTGATTCCGGGAAAATAACAAAGACAACACCAAATGAATTCCAAATAGCCAAGTTTGCTTTTCTTCACCAAATCCCCGGCACGCGGCACCCGCGTGGACAACGGGGGTGCACGTGGTCACTGGTTCCGCCCAGTGGCTCACAGCAAAGCGCCTGGCGCCCGGTGGTTCAACGCGCCAGTGCTTCCAACAGAACGTTCCGGTCGAACACGGACCAGCTTTTTGAGAGCTGGTTTGCTCCACCGACGTTTGGGCTCCTGTCGTTCCTCCGGGTTCGGTGGGACCGGTTTGTGCACCCGGGCACCCAGTCCCACCGAAGCGAACCCGGTGCGACCGGAGCCCTAGGGCTTGTGACGTTTGCCAGAAAAAAGACATGGACCTCACATGATGGTTTCTCCGAACCATTCTGCTCCACTCTATTGGGCTTGGGGTACAGGTACAAACTCATGAGCAAAGGTCCTATCTTACACGTTTGCTGGAATCCAATACTTCGAAACTTGTGAGGGGCCAGGCAAGAACATGTGCCTGGTGGTACAAGACCTTTATTTGGTGATTTCATGATTTCAATTTAATCTCTATTGAATCGACCAGGCTGCGGGGAAGGACAGGCTGCGGGGAGCGGTGCTTCTTCGCCATGGAAAGCCCGAAGTTCTGCCCTGAGCCCGAAAAGGGCTGGTTTGATAAAGAGCCAGAATTCTGCATAGGAAGACCCAGGTCCTTTGGATCCCATCCCAACTCGGAGTGCTGATCACTGATCTCGTGGATCACACTTCCATGACAGCGAAAGAAGATGACGGTGTCGAATTCATGACGACATTTGCCGAGGAAAAGAAGATGATCAAGAAGGAACAAGGATGACCAAATGAATCACAACCGATCAACTTTACCATGAAGTCATCCAGGAGTCCCATGTCGCTCACTCAGGGTGCCGGTTCCGAACGGAAGGAGGTAGGAGTGTTGCACCAGAACATTCACGGCCGGATAGGACGAACCACCCAGGCCCATGTGACTTCTGGATCCAACAGACCATGAAAACCAACAGACCGGACTCCAACAGACCCTCCGACCCCAGAGAGGGCAGCCGTCTAACAGACCCTCCGACCCCAGCTAGCCACGTCCCGCCCAGCTGTCCCGCGCCGCAGGACCCCACGCCCCACGGCCTGCCACGCGCGGAGATCGTGGTACTGCAGGAGTCCAAGAGGCCGCTGCAGTCGCAGATCCGATCGCCGCCCAAGTCCTGTCGCTTCGACTTCGGTGCTTTTGGGTCGAGGAAAAGGTGAATGACGAAAGAGGCTCCACTAGGATGGTGTTTAGCTGTTCATGGCTTTTATTTCTAAGTATTTTTTGGCGTTATTTGATTTCTTTGTAATATTCGTTTTTTTTGATGGATGAGATTGGAGGTCCAGGAGAGCACCGTTGCATTCTCACACACCATGGCATTCTCGCTCGAAAAAGTCACTCGTCAGCGACCACAAATTGGTGCCTTGCTCAAACTAACCAGTGGGGTCTCTCTCTCTCTCTCTCCTGCTGTTGTTTCCACTTTTTGTCCATCCTTTAAACACAGAGTTTCCAGGTTCACCGTTAGGAATCTTGGGTCTTTCTCCACCTGAAGCCGGTGCAAATGCAGTCACGCGTGGACCACGCACCGCGGCTCGGTCATGGCACACATCCGTGATGGGCATTAAATCCTGGGCGAAGACGGCGAACGGGGGAGAGCAACTGCCGCACGGCGAAAAGGCGACGGGAAGTGGGGGTGGATCGGACAACAGGTTTAGCTTGATAGGGAAAGATCCAATCCTGTACACATTCAAAGAGAGAAACATCAACAAAATACCCATGATAATCCAACATATCAATGGTTTACAATTCAAGCGTTCTTTCCGTTCTACGGAAGTCATATGCTTGGAATGATGATTTTGTGGCCTGGCTCCAGATTGGTGTGATTTGAGTGTCTCAAACAGCCACACGATGCACACAGCTGGGACATTCTATGACTATAGTTCAACAGTTCTACCAGTTGAGCTTCATGGGTTTCATCATTTCGATCTCCAACTCAACTCGCACAGCTCTTGTGTAATAATTTGCTCTGCACTCCTGGTGGGAAAGTTTACAATAATACCATATCCGAGGAGACCTACTTCGGCCAAAACATATCCCTTGCCAAACCCGCGGTTCACAAATCTTCTCTCTTCCCCTTTCCCAGCTCCTACTCTTCTTCAATCTTCTTCAGCACTCAATGATTCTACCAATCCATCAGATTAAGATCCGGTTTTTTGAAGTCTGACCGAACGTGCTATCGTGCTATGCACGTACCTGCCCAAAATGGGGGGGGGAAAACGTCGACGTCGTCGTCCGAACTTGTCCCTGTGGTCCATTTCCGCCCCACATCCGTGACAACCGGTGACCACCGGGGTGAGCTGCTGGGGTCATACGGAGTCAATTGGGTTGGGATGGGGCCACGTCAAGGCGTGGAAGTCTTCAAGCAACGTCCTTGTGGGTTGGTATGGGACAAACCTCAAAACCACAACTGGAGGATGTTTGAATGGAACTACATGGTAATGATATCGGTCATAGAATGTCATATTATTATGAGTCATGTAGATTTCGTAGTAGATTTCGTATCATAAAATGTAATACCTTTTTTAATGTAAAACTGCAAAAAAAAAACACTTCACGTCGTGTTGACCCGCTTCCCCCGTTGCAATCTTACCCGAGGCACGGCGCAGTAGTCATCGGCACGCACCACCGATGGACTACAGCTGGCTCCAATGGGCACAGCCTGCGGCAGCTGACCAGCTTGTCTGCTTCTGGCTGGACCATTCTGAACCATGAACTCTCTCACTCAAGCTCACTTATTCATGAATCCCAGTCAACCTCCGCTGACTGGATCCGCAGGAAAGTGGCCGGATGCAAAAAACATCCTAGAGGTGGATACTGGGATGGGACTACGAGGAAAGTATCTAAAACATGGTCACCCATGTTTGCGTGATTACAAACAAGAGAAACACGCACCATGACACCAGTATAGGTTGCACAAATCTTCCAGAACAGCCTTGCAGCCTTGCCATGTTCGGCTCCAAGACCATAACTTGTTCAGGATCCTTATCAGCGATGGACTGGATTGGAACCTGTGGGTGAAGAGTAAACTGAGTATACATAGACTGAGTAAACATCAAAACGCCCCATCTTCAGCAAGAAAGGTCACCTCTTCAAGCTGGGCAGCCCATCAAAAAGCCCAAAGGCACCGGTGACACCCACCTCAAATCTCCACTCCATCGAAACCAGAATCTGGAAGATACTGGAAGAGACTGAGATACTGGAAGATCAAAGCCCCTGGAATATCCAACCCTGGGGATCCAGTCGTACCTTCTCAGAAGGTGTGTGTGGGGGGGGTTTGGAGGGTCCAGGTGCCTTCTGAGAAGGTACAACTGGATCCTTTATAGATGTGCGACCCGCCTTGTAGGTGAGCCAATCCTGCGGCACGAGCCATGTTTGAAACAAAACGGATTTGTGGCATGATCTGAAAGGCCGCCGCACGGCGGGTGCAAAAGCCCTGTTGTGTCGTGTGGCTTGAAGAAGTCTACAATTTTACCAGGTTCAGCATCTCCAATCATCTGTACCAAATCGGGGGTGTTGCTTGTACAAAGTACCTCGAGCAGTGTGCCATGTATCAGCAGTGTGCCATGCATCCCACTTCCCAGAATGATGTGCCAACTTGTTAATTCACACACGGGTGTGGTGTTTGACGTAGATTTACAGTTAACCTGTACATGGTAGAATGACATCAGAAGGGCAGTGAGTAATTGTTACTCAAACCTCCTCAAACCATTCCAAGAGGAATGAAAAGGAGGTATGAAGGATTGTGAAACAACTTCTGCTTGGTGGTTCAGAATGGAGACATGTTCTTACCGTTACCCAAACAGCAAATAGATCCCTATGTGCTTCCCTGTGGTGGTTCCCCTTCCAAATGAAAAACCACTATGTGGATGTGACTAGTGATCATCTTGGTTTACCGTCAGCTGGTTCGCTCGGATGCGAATAAATTGGGTGGTCGTGCCATGTTGTGACACACACACATACACCACACTAATGGTGAGTTCATAGGGTCATGCTGCAATGTGCCAGTTCCTACATGGCCTCAGGTCTTGCTTGCTCGTTCTTTTTTCAGAATGCTAAGAAACGCCTTGTTTGCTTTCTTCAGAATGCAAACACATCTTTCGGATTGAAGCTTTGACTCTCCTCGATGTATCTCGATTTGTTGGCTCTGGGAGATCTCCTCGCTTCATTGTAAAACATGACATGACAGATTCCCACATCACGCCTGAGACACTCACATTCATCACGCCTGCATCCAAGCAAGTTCAGCTCTCTGCAGTCTGGTGATGTTTCGACCTCAGAGCTTCTGACCACCGATCCGGTGAGTGAGGCCCGCCCGGCAGCAACTGCCCCCGGAACCACCATCCGGGCACCTCTGTCCATCCTGAACCCAACCAGTGGAGCGGAGAGGACCCAAACCATACATTTGGGTCCAATCCTCAAAAGTATCTCCAATCATCTCAAAGGGTCATTTTTGTGGATTCATATAGCAGGGCCCCCGTTTCCGGGTGTCTAATTATATATATATAGCTTCTTAGAGGTTAAGGGGTATCTATTAACCACCCCAAACCGGGGGCCCTGGTAGGGACATATTCTGAGTTCAACATGGGAAAGGACTCTCGTCTCGTGCCATCCACATGCCTGGGCCCGATTTTTTTATTTTCGCAAGGCACTTGGGTTCTGCACCTGGTATGAGACAAGATCTTGAAATATCTTGAGGTAAGTGGAAATTCCAGGCTAAACTGAACAGTCAGATCTATGAGAGAACTTGATGTTGACTTGTCTTCAGGTATATTACATTGGAGGTCAGCTGATCTAATAACCAGGCCACCAGGCTCACTCTGCAAGTACGGGATGATTTGTGTCCATAGATTTCGGAGATCAAGTAAAGTTTGTTCTTTCCCCAACCACAGAGACACAGGGGGGTCTTTAGTGATTTCAGCTGGTTTCGTGAGCCCCTGAGTTCTAGCTTTCCTTTCCTCCATTTCCATCCAGCTACCGGCCACCGGAGCGGAGCTGATAGCCAAGGCGCAAAGTCCAAGAAGATACCTGAGCATGAGGAATCTGCTGCCAGTCAAACAGCCAAGGTCTATGTAGGAGGTCAATGAGTCAAGACTTGTGCTCGTTTGAAGAACATGTGACATATAAATACCATATTATACCATTCCCATCCTTTCCCTGTTCAATCAATTGGGTGTTTCAAAGCATTGGGTGCCCAAAAAACACGAGTACCAAAAGAGTTTTGCTTTCGTGTTCATTGAGTTCGCCACTCATCCTCCGTGCTGGTCAATAGGATCGCGCACATGTCCACGGCACCCTGCACACGGTGGCGTCGGCTCTTCCTCAAAACCCAAGCAGCCTAACCACGTCACATGACTTGGATTTGCTTGAGGAACCTTGAAAAACATATTCACCAGGTTTGGGGATTTAGCCATAGGGAAAATAACAAGAACTCATCTTAAGCAAACCAGGATGATGGAAGACATGGGGTCCAAATCAGTCACAGCACACGGAGCCTCCACCAAAGTGTTATAATTATGGATTTACAAATCATCATGATCAGCCATATTGCTCAAAAAGGATCAGCATGATTTTGTCCAGCGGCTAAACTTATATGAATCCCTCCAGGAGTGGATAAACATGGCGAGCTTTTGCACGAAACCCTCGCAAATTCCAGGTGTTCTGTCTTCCCACATGGCACGAACACCGACCCCATCGGCGCCTGATGATGGGGCATCATGGCCTGAACGAAGTCCTGGCGCGTTATTCCTCCAACTCCAGGTGTGGTGGGTGGAAGTCTCATCCACACCCGGTGTGTCCACACCATCTGGCATCTGGGTGGGTCCTATTCAGAATCCCCAACGGATGCATAAAAAAACAACTTAAACTATAGAAGGTCAGAAGATGTCAGAAGGTTGTTTTTCCAGGTCTTCTATGAGAATCCTCATTCTCATGTTTTTCCATAGAAGACCGTGGTGTTTTCTCATCCATAGAAGACCCATCAATCCATGAGAAATCCGGTGGGATCAACTTGAGCTGGATCCGCTTCGCCTTGGCCGGTCCAGCATCCAACTTCGCACCGTTCGCCATGCTTTAGTATTAGTCGTTGACCCTTAGAGATGGCTTCAAGGAGCTTTCTCATGGTCTTTGTCCAAAACGTGAGTGTGTATTGAAACAGGGAGATGCCCCCAAGATCCCGTGAAAAGACAAATAGAAGAACAGTGTGCTCGAACACACCAACGTTACAGTGTGCTCTCAGGAAGGACTCAAAACAACGTTAGTCACACTTTGAAAACAAATCATCGGCCGCTCCACAACACTTGATCTGTTCACTTTTGCTCTCAGTGGGTGGAAGCCTGCACACTCGCAGGACCTTTAAACCTGCAAACTTTGCAACACTGACACTATTGCTTAATGCTCATCCTTCGTCTTGCCGAACTTGTTGTTGTCGACCCGTCTCCACTGCTGTTCGGCCCGAGCAAACTCTGCCCTGGCATGGCTTTGATCTCCTGGATTGAAGAGGCCATCGGACTTCCGCCAGCTATTCACCGAGGAGACAACACCTGCACCTGCATGCCACCCGGCATGAATGCTGGACCGGACCCAGCCATTCTCATGCATGTCGAAGGTCTGGTCCATCCAGTTGGAGACACTACGAGCTCCTCCCGGATTGTACAACTTGCCGTGGCAAAACAAAAAGCAGCCCAATAGTAACATCCACCACATGGCAGTCATGTTCAGTGCCAGCAGATCAAGAAATTGTTCGGCTGGATGCTTGAGCCAAAACTAGGCTCAGAATGGTTGTGAGCTAGTCCCACAGGGCAATCTTCCACCTCTGCATTTGGCTTGGGGGATCATTATAAGTATGGCGCGTGTCGAGATCCAACGGATTCCAACGGCGCGTAACACCCTGCTGTTTCTTCGTTGGTCCTGTCTTGCAGGCTATACAAGTCGTTTTGTTTTACTTTTGGGGGGGGTCAAGTGCCCTTCATAGTACTGATATAATATAATATAGTCCAAATCGCTCGCTTCATGTACTATAATTCGGGACAAACAATGGGCTAGAGAACACGACAAGCATTCCTGAAACAGTTCTTTCAGCCCAAAGGCAATACGCAAAGCTTGAGATTTGTGGGTGTTCACTTCTAAGACGTCGATTGGAGTGGCTGCGCCGATTCGACTTGTTCGCCTTGCACAATTCCTCACCTCACCCACCAGGACCAACAGACCGTGCGTGCGCGCCGCACCTGCTCGACTTTGCATGTGTAGTTTATGGCCATCGCCTAACGAATGGATGGAGAAGACATTTGTCGAGCAAATGGGTTCAAAGTGTTGATCTTGCGTCTGAGTCGAAGGAAGAATTAGGAGCATATGTGCATCCCAATTGTAGATGGAGAACATGGTAAGCACGAGAATGCAGCGAGAAACTTCAGTCCACTTAGCGAGAGTAGCTTGCAGTGCTACACTCCTTTGCCACCTCTGCCATCCTTTGCCATCTTTACCAGTGGGTGTCTCTGCAGCATGCAAGAACTAGCAGCAGTATTTCAGAATTGGAATTAGTCAGAACTTGTGCAAGCGATATCACACGCATTGCTAACAGTGTCTCTTGATTGGGGGAGCATTGGGCTTGCTTCTCTCTGCAGAACAAATAAAAAAAACACCAAACTGCCAAAGGCAGCTCTCCGTGTTCACCTCAAACATTGAGCTTGCTTCGCTCCAAGCGAATGCGGCCGGCCTCGTGCATCTTTTCGTTGGCCGCCTGGAAGAATGGACAAAAACTACTCGGAACCCACAAACAAGGTCACCACTGTCACCGTCCGCAAAGCAAATGGTTCAAGGCCACAAGGGTTTCAACACATCTACAACTCCTATGAAACCACGAATGTGTTTGGTAAACCCTCGAATACCCACTATTGTTAAGTCACGAGCCTTACCGAGGGCGAATTTAGCCTTTTTGCGGGACAAAGAGTTGGTGACCAAGCACGCCAGGTCTAGGGGAAGAGTGAAGCTCGTCTCCTTTGAGTCACACCAGGTTTAAAACAAACTGTGAATATCTGTGAACCGAGAAGCTGGGAAGCCGGATGGGCGCGGCTGGCGCTCCGGGAGAACGTGTGTAAGCAGCTACCAAAAGCTGCTTAAGTGGCTCAGCAGATTGGGGTCAACCATCAACCCCACTCACTTCCTACCTTGAATGATGTTCAAGGCTTTTCTACCCAATCACGTCCTCACGTACTCAGCCATCTCAACACCTGCGGCAGGTCTTCCACCGAGACAAAGCCATCTTTGTACCGGTCTTGGTTGAAAAAAACAATTATATAAAACACACATGGTCCTGCTTTGGGTTTATTCACTCCAAGCACTGATCTGCTAAAACCTCTGAAAAAGCCCACCACTGAGCTTTTGTTTCAAAAGTGGTCTGGTATCCAGCAGCCCATCTTTGGCAAAAGCTAAGCAGCACCGGCCTGGTAAGCTCTGGCTTCTTGACAGCTTGTATTGCACCCGTTCGAGCGACAGGCCTCCAGCGGCGCGATGGTGGTGGAACGACTGAGCACGACAGCAAAGCGCCAGCATGCCTTGAATGCAACAAGACTAAAGCATACTAAAAGCATGCCGTGCTCAAGAAATCGTCAGCCTCAAAAGCATAGCTGCCCTTCGCTTCGGATGGTTTAGGGCACCACAAAGTGCTGGTGCAGTTTCCCTATTTAGATAAAGCATCAGTGTTGATGCCTTGGATCCAATACTGTTCCCCAAAACTCCCCCTCCCTCTCTCTCTCTCTCTCTGTGTCAGGATTCATTTTGTTTTTTGACGAATGATGACGATGGTAGCGCAGGGGTAATCTAGACATTTGTCCTCGTTTACTAAACGCTTCAACCCAAGGAACTAAACAAAAATCATCCAACGTCCAAAAGCTTTAGACAACAGCCAGCCCGGTAACAATTTAGGACCAACAAGATCTATACAACAGCCAGCAGCCAGCCCGGAAAAGCCATATCCAACAGCGACACTCCCTGACCGGTCGAGCCATCCATGTTCCACCCGCGCTGCGCGCTGCCCTGGCTCTGCGCTGCCTGCTCCTCGGGCACGTGGTGCTCTTGCAACCAACGTCGCATGCCTTGCACCTCCCATGTCTGGGCCAAGTAGACGTGGTTGCAGAAGTGCACCATGCCCACCTCGTCACGTCCACACGACGCCGCAAGACCCGCGAAGACGGGTAGCAGGCCATACGATCTGGACCACCTGAATTGGTTTGGACATGTTTGGACCAGCTGAGAATATCAATCTGCTTGCTATTGAATGGAGTGATCGTTCAAAAGTTCAACGGTCAAGGGGTCCACCAGCCATCAGCCATGCTTTCCTGACATCTCTGTGACTTATCACTTCGCTGCTTCCTAGCGCCGATCTTTCAGCTGGGAGAACCCTCCCTCCAAGTTGTGCCCCAGTTTCCCGCCACTTTGGATGGGCCCATGCCTCGGACCAAAGTTGTGCTCCATCCAAGACGTTGCACATCTCGACTGCGCCCTGAGACGATCGACGCGACGATCTGGTCGTGGTGTCTGGTGTTCTCTCACTCAGGATCCAAACACCAACCCACACACCACCCACTCCGGCAAGGAGGCGTCCGTCAGGACGACCTGAGGGCCCCCAAAACACCGAAAAACACCTTGGTTTCACCATTCTGACGGTGTTCACAAACGCCGTAGAGTGCACATGGAGCGCACGTAGGACAACCGGATATTTGGAACGAAACGCGTGGTGTAGACAAAAGAAATTGGATGGACACCCCTCCGCTTGTCATAGCCTTTTTGCGCCATCCAAGCCATGTTCCTTCATTCCCTTGGTTCCACTGAATGTTGGTTTCTTGTGACTGGATTGTTTCCGAGATCTCGGCCTGGTGATGAGGAATCATGCCACGCACGAAGTCGATGCCCGGGTCACAGGAGTACCTCGAGCTTGGCGTCTCTCCCCACGCCGTGTCACGGCGGGTTCGGTCCGCACCGGCGGGTTCGGTCCCATGACGCGACCCACCAGGATGGGTGGCTGGGTGGGTCTCCAACGTCGAGGAGCTCTCAGAGAGTCCAGAAAAAAGACCACGATGTGTTGAGCAATACATCCCTCGTAATCGATACCCGCCCAAACAACGTATGACCCATTCCCCTCACCCATTCCACGGCGCTCACTCGATGTCCATGGCCCTCTGCATGCGCGCCATGGCCGCCATTTGCCCCCGGCGAAAGGGACAGTCCTGAGGCCACTGCATTCATAGTGTACACTTGAAATCCGGGAGACATCTGCAAGATTCCCCCTAGAAGAAGAAACATAGATAAACATCCATTGGTTGGGGGAGTCCCTCTGTCTTGTGTGACTTTTAGGGAGGACACCAGCGGGCTACGAGACGAGGTGGGTGACCCAAATGTGTATGACATGGTGGATGTGGTGATCACGGTGATCATCGAGGGGAGTCCAGTTTCCGGACCACTGATCTACACCAACAAGCCTCCAGTGAGACCTCGAGGGTCGGTGACCTTTGTACCTGAACACCCTACAGTTGCTCATCTAGTGAATGTTTGGTAGTTGATGTGGGTGTGCATCATGTCCAAGAGCCCTACATGAAACGGGCTGCACGCGACCTCGTACCACCTGCCAAGTATGGCTTGGAAGGAACATGGGGGATGGCGCACCGGTCGCCCGGAATGGCCGTTGCGTGCGTGTTTTGCTTCAGCGGAAAGGTGTTTGCTGGAGATTGCGCGACAGTGCGGACAAACCACACATTGAAAGATGACGAAAGGTGGTCTTCAGGCTTCAGGCCTGCCCAATGAATCCAGTTAGTCAATGGTCGCTACAGCATAGAAGGGTCACATAGAGACCAAAAAGTTGCATAGTCGATCATCGTCAGCAATTTGGGGCATCCACTACCAGGAGACCCGTGAGACGGGGTGCCAATTGGTGGCAAGGGGGGTGTCTATAAAATACCCCTTAGGCCCCTTGAAATCCAAACGACACCCCTTGGGATCTCCTGCTATGGCAAAATAAGGTTTCTTCACGTTTCTTCGGCACATCACCACGCGCGGCGCGGACGTTCCGCACGAGCGTCGATGTGGCCACAGCCCATGCCATCCATGGAGAGCGTTGAAGTCTCGCAAGCGAGCTTGAGAGCACAGAAGGGCTGATTGGAGCATGCAAGGCTGATTGGAGCTGGGACAATTCCTTGACAGGGGTAGACGTCAACAGTTGAAAACCACCAAGTAGCAGAGGGTGACCAATGGAAGCCCACTCTAGCAGCCAATGTAGAGCTAACATGACCCAATTCAGTGAATGTGCTGTCGTCGACTCGATCACGCAAAGATCTTCAAATACCCAGGTCACAATGACTATCCACCCAAGGTACAACCTACCAAACACTACATCTATGGAACTTATAAATACATACATTGAGGTATCATTGGAGCTCACTTTAGGCAAATATGCCCTACATGGAGTGTCTGGGTATAATTACCTTATAGATGGTTGCCAATTCGGTCTCTTTGCCCCCTATAGACCCAACGCCCAAGTAAATAGGTGAGAGCAAACTACTGTAACAGGGCACTGTAGAGGTCGAGGTAGAGGTTGTCGAGGTTGAGGTGGATGAGCTCGTCGAGCTTGTAGTGCTTTCTGGGGCGCCTTGCATCCAAGGTGAGCACATGGCTCACAAAGAGAGGAGGGCTGGCAACACATGCCAAAACCTATTTTTCGGCATATTATGGTCAGAGATGATAGGTGCATTCCTTCATTCGCACCTACTCCCATTGTCATTGTCTTTTAATTAGAGACCGATTCTGCAGATGCTCGAGAGGGAAGCTTCGAGAAGAGAGAGATAGAGAGAGAGAGAGAGAGAACATGTTGATTGAACCCCTTCGAGGCAAATCGACCCTTTCATCCACCAACTGCTTTCTAAACCCTACAAGTCCAAAGACCCAGTATTGGTTTTGTATGACCATTCCCATTAAAATGAGGTCTTTGACTTATAGGGAAACAATATTTTTTTGAGTTACTAATAGCATCTAATAGCAAGGGTCTCCGACCTAGTAGCGATGGCCTCCATGGCCTCCAACCTAGTGATGGCCTCCGACCTAGTACCGAGGCCTCCAACCCTGTGGCTTTCAGGGTCTGGGTCTGAAAAGCATCCAAAAGCCACATGCAAAGAACCACGCCACGATCTGAATGCCGCGGGCCGTGGGACGTGAACTGATGTCACAGTCTTTCTTCTGGATGTGCATTTATCCTCCACCCAACAAACATGGAAAACATGGAAGTGGAACATGGCCCCGTGGAAGACTGTTTTCTTCTACGAACAATCTGTATTCATTATTCCACTTCCATGAATGATTGTCTCAGGGAGGGTAAAGAAACCGGGAGACTCGGAGACCTCCCAATTCCACCCAATTCTGTCCTTGAGGGTTTTCTTTCAAACCCAGTCCCTATAGGCCCTATCGGACTGGGTGTTCGTGACGTGATCGATGGGTCATGGGCCAACTGGGCCAACTGATGTGACTCTTCCAGTAGAATGTTTCGTCTGGGACACAAGGTCACATTAACTGGGAAACAAAACCCCCAGGTTTGGGGATTCACCCAGGCACCGGGAAAAAAGCGCATCACCCAATTAATTATACCCACTGTTTGGCAAGCTATGCCCATGGATCTGACCCAAGTGACTGGTTGATGTCGTTGATCCTGACACCGTGGAGCCCATGTTCTCTGTGGTGTCTGGCCTGTGGAAGGTGGCAAGGCAAACCCTCAAAACTTGTAGCTTCAACATGAGAAATTCCTTTTGAACTTTGATTTCGTGAACTGTCGGGAGTTCTTTGTTGCAGATCTGAATGGTCAACACGGCTATACCTGGCTGTATCCATGAGGCTACCTTGCTGCATCCATTGGACTTGTCCTCCAACCTCATGCACACCGGCAAAAAACACATATTGAATTATTGATTCAGCTAAACTTCCAAAGCATGTTTTTGTTGTGCCAAACAAAGAAAGGCAAAGCGGATTCTTGATCCACTGGTCTTCCGAGTGTTTTGTGTTTATTTTCGTAGCAAATGGATGGGTGGAATGGATGCATGACTCCCTGATGGGAGTGACCTTACCTGCTGGATGGATACTTAACAAACAGTGGAACATTCAATCTGAGTGAAACAAGGGGTCGGAGGGGTGATATGCGGTATGCCTTGTTGTCGATGTAGTGCTTGATCCTGGCCATTGGATGGCCGTGATCTTTTCAAACATTGACGGATAATGCAACTGACGACAATTGCATGTATCAAGACAAAAGGAAGCACCTGTCCTTCAGCCGTGGTTGACGCTGCTGTTGTAGTCGTGGTGGTTGTGGTGCTTTCAGTCGAGGTTGTAGTGCCTTTGAGCATCTCCCACACGCCAAGCTTGTCTTGCAACAGAATGAACACCCAAATCCTGGAAGCTGAAACCCTATCCTAGATACATGATTGAACATTGTTCAGTATTCAGTCACCTGTGCTACTATCATATACAAATGTGCGTGTCACGTCCCAACATCAACCCCCTTCAGTGATTATCGGATCTCCCACTCTCTTCGAAACGCCTCCTGCCCCTCGCATCTCCTCGCATCTCCTCGCCCCTCTTCCGCTCTTCGGGTACCCAGCTTTCAAGGCGACAATAGGAGTCACGGGTTGCTCCTCCAGCGCAACTGCGCACCAGCGGAAGACCTTCCCTGGCGGCTCGGTCGGTCGCCGCAGAAGGGGATTCACTGCAGGGCACCGGGAAAAACCACATGACCGGCCCTAAAGCTCCGCAAGGCAAACCAGGAGGGAAACGGACCGCTGTGAGGGGATTCAGTGTTGACATGTGTTGGGTGAAGTCTGGTCCTTCTGGAAACTGGATCCCAATGGAGTGAATGTAGCCTAGAACCCTTTTTTGTGGCTAAGTGGGCCACTTCCACAAGATCCCACAGTCCCACGTGGCAACATGCGTGGAATTTTAGACGTGGGAACATCGGTCAGAGCATGCGCTGCGTCACAAAAACCATGTTTCCGGTCAGACCCCTGTTGCTTTTTCAACGTTTTTTCAAGGCGCCTAGCACGCCATAACTGGGCCATAACTAAGCCTGCTCGGGATTTTGGATAAAACACACGACTCCAACAACCTGCTAGCAGCAAAGTCCGCCAAATGAATGCTGCAAGGAAATCCATGTCTGACTGGACTCTAGCAGTACTCAACATAGTGTCATCCATCAGTACCTTCAATCATATGTGAAAGTTGTTGTCTTAAAGGACCTGTCTTTAGTTGGTGCTTGTGCTGAGCATTATGAGTCCTTCTCACAGTCTCACCACCTCCACCACCTCAACCACTCCCCACGTCTCACCCCATCTGACTCACACGTCATTGTCGTCTTCACCCGTCATGGCGCACCCGCTGGGCGTCCAAAGCTCCCAGAAGTCCATGTGCCCCGAAAAGGCATCGCCCGGCCTGTGCCGCGTGGCACGGGCCGCCGCGTCCACTCCGCTCGCTCGTTGTGTCCAGCTGCTGGAGGCGAGCTGATCCAGGAGAAGTGTACTTGCATGCTACTTTTTTTCGCTTTTTTTTGGGGCCCCGCGGTGAGTGAGTGTGATCGATTCTGGAGATGTGATGTGTAAAACATGTTCATGGAACATGAAAACAAGTTCATTGGGTTCCTTCCACCTCACACTGTTTGAAGAGGTCCCGAAGTTGGCTGCGCTACATACGGAGCTCCTCACGGAGGTTGTGAGGCAAACCAACGCTGCAAAGGTCTGTCATGGTCTGTCCCAGACTCATCGAAGGCACTGACATGAGCTCATGTACCGATCAGGTTGGGGTGGTTGATTACAGGGGTCAATGTATGTTTCCAGTCCTGCCAGTCACATGGATGGTCTGGGTTTGATCCCAACATCCCGCAAAATGCAACATATATATTTGAGAACACTGAGACGCCCTGAGACGCCCAAAACGACCCCGAGATTCAAGAACACTCTGGCGATTTTTCCATGAAGGGTCCCATGGTAGAAGCATAGCTATCACAGCTGCGAAAAGAACGACGAGTTTCATCGAGTTTCAAGGTTTAGGTTCTTGGTCTTGGAAGCTATATAATTGCTCGATCCAGTGTGCCACACATAGTTCGTGTGTTTTTGTTGTCCAGAATCCATCAAAATTACATCAAAACGGTGTCTCCCCAGTCTCCTGGTCAGACCTGACTGGAGGTTTTGGTTCACTCGAGACGGTGTGGTCCTGGTGATATGGAACTGGGTGCTGTCGCCTACCGTGAATTCGTCGGTCACTGCGGTCGCCCCAGTAAAAGCAGTCTTAGACCAGATTGGGTACGTATTAAACCATTAACACGGACCATTGACGACACAGCTCAAGAGGCGTTCCGACACTCTGCGAGGTTCGGAAAATCAACCAGTCTACCATCGTCTACCCCGCCAGGGCCAGACGATGGCGGGGGGAAGACCCCTCTCAAACTACACCCACCAAGTCCAGTCGTCTAGTCTGGCCTGGTAAAACCTGGTCCGTTTCCCTCATCGAGTAGTGCTTTGGTGTGTGATCAACTCCAGTACAATGGAGGTCTGACCTGTATCTCGGGCCATACAGATGGTCTAGAACCGAACTCCACCTGGACCTGCTCCCCACCGCCCCCACGCTGAACCTCCCGCACGCCGCAAACGCCGCAAACCACCTCTCTCGAACCGTCCGAGAACCGTCCTCGCACAATCACGACCGCCGCGCGGCGGCTGAACCTGCGCGCGCGCGCGCGCGTTCCACCGCGGGAACGGCCTCAAGGGATCTACGGCTCCACAGTCACAGGAGGCTTTCGGGATCAACTGTGTTCCAATGAGGTCCTGGCGTCGAAGAGTGAAACCCGAAGGGTGAACCGTCCCGCGACGACGATGTCGAGCGCCGAGTCGACATGACATGACGTCATGGACTTCCTGGGAATTTGGGACCTAAACGAAGGAATACATGACGGAACCCGGAAGAAAGATGTACAAAACATGATTCTAATGCATCCCAAATGCTCCATGTATGGAATATTTACCTACATTGACCCCTGTTCAACCACCCCAATGTATGTAAATATGTCATACACGGAGTGTCTAGGTATTCTAATATATTCCAGGACACCGCGCCCATTGGTTGATGTTGCCTGGTTCGGTGAGAACTGAACCTTGCTGGATAAAAACACAAAGACACCCAATAAAACGCTTGGAGATATCAGGGCCTTTCTCTGCATGTGTCGGTGATGCTCAGTGGTTGTCATCTTACTTCTTGTGGTGTGTCACTAGAGGATCAAACAAAAACTCAAATAATAATGCGTCTGACAAGTGCGAAATCTCTGTAGTTTGCAGTGCAATCATGTAGTCCCCAGGTCCATCTTATGGTTCTGCTGGGCTTCTTGTGAGAACTTGGATTGCAAACTACTTCCGGTTGACTGAATAAACGTTTGACGCCTGCACCGTGGCAGGGCCATTGGAAAGACCATGAAATCCTCTACAAATTGAGGGTTGTGCACTTCCATGTTTCTTGGAGGGACGGTAGTAATCCAGTTGCAATCCAAATCTCATACCGGTTGCAAAGACCAGTATACCGGCACATCCACTGTAATTAACATGTCTGTTCTTGCAACACACCCAAGCCTTCCAACTCCTTAAGCAAACCATAGCAAACCTTTTGGCCACAATCTTAAGCCCCCAACCTAGTTCCAGGATTGGACTAGTTAACTATAGAACCCTCACTGTAAAGCACAACCGCTCCTCTTGCTCCGGACCAGCTGTCCCCAACATGACCTGGCCAGCTACGTGCTGGGCTGCTCTGGGCAGCAGTTCTTCCACTTACGAGTGCAAAGGTCTCAAGGGGTCACAACTCACTTCCATCCCACCAAGACGGGTCACAACAAATCAATATGCAAGCTTTGGCTCACATCCATCCACCCATACCTGCTCAAAGAACCCTTCGTCTCAAAGCTGAAGACTTTTGCGAGAAGAACACATGTGTTAACACAAATGAGTCACATCAAGCATCCTACCAGTTACATCAACGCACCAACTTACTCCACACATGATGTGTCACATTCGTCACCATGCCACCCGACCACATCCGACCACCAACCCTTCTGTCGACTTCGACGTCGACTTCGGCCAAGAGGCCCAGAACTTCCCCGTCGTTCCACCGCGAAGCCAAAAGGCCACCAAGCCATCGCCGGAGACCTCCACGTGCCTCGGGGGGCCGCCCGAACCCCCACGTCACGATACGTCACCCGCGGACGGTCTGTGTGGGAAAGTCCTCTTTTTTAAGGGGATTTTCCGAAGTTGAAAGAGGTCGGGTCAGAAGACGTGGTCTCAAAACCCATGCAAACCTATACCACGAATCAAGATTCACCGGTCTTGCCACAGAAGTGACGAAGCGCTCGCGACCGGCGCGGGCCGCCGGGCCGGTCCAGCAGAACCGAACTCCAAACCTCGGGCGATCCGGTCGAGCCGTGGTGAAGCCGGTCGTCCGGGCACACCATGGGGAGTCCGGGCACACCGAGCCCGCAGGGGGAAAACGGCACACCGAAGCAAAGCCTATAGGGTTGGTTCGGGTCCGGATTCTGGCAAAATGGATGCAACATGAAGAATTTGGGGATCCCTGATCCGTGGGGAGCCTGTGACCCTAAAGGCTCCAACACTTCAATTGGTCTGTGCCATATCATCCGCGTGGACAGGTATACCGAGCTGCACACATCTGCACACACCCAAACAACACTGCCAGCTTGTGCCTAAGTCTGTGACCCTTCACTCCAGGCCCTTGACTTGACCTCCAGTCCTCGACCGACCTTATGAGGTCCATCACCCACGGCCGAACACGGACGCCGCAGGGCGCTAGGCTTCGGACGCCCCAGGCTCCAAAGTTGTCGAAGTAGCCGCACAGGCCCTGCCGCACCTGGACCGCCAGCTGCGTCTCTCGGTGCCTGAAACAAGGCCCGTGGCCCGGTGAACGCTCGTTGAGGCAAAGTGCCTCTTGGAGGTTAAGAGGAGTGTCATATATCAATGGGTTCTTGGAGATGTTAAGAGGTGTCTAAAGACCAACGAGCTTGGAAAGTGAAAGGGGATCTCTTGCGTTCACATGGTCCTCTGACGATGGATCTCTTGTACACGATATGTACACCATATATTGAATATGATCCCTTGTGTTCATATGTCCCAACCGCTCCATGTATGCCATATATGCCTACATTGGGGTGGCTTGGGGGGTTAATGTAGGCATATATTCCATACATGGAGTGTATTAAAAAGATCCCTCGTGTTCAAATGGTCCTCTTACTATGGTCCTCTTACCTGGATCGCTTAACTAGATGTGTTCTGGTGTGGATATATGTGGTGTGCCACATGTGTTCTGGTTCAGGTTCACCCCTTCCTACAGGGATGCGAAGGGCTAGACATGCCTAGACAAGTGAAAGGCCGAGTTCCGGAGGGTCCTTGAATGGAAGTGAATGAGCCGCACACATGTTTGGTTTTCGTTGCCAAAGGGCCCAAAGACGATCTTGGGCTGCCAAAAAAACGCCACTGACTCGGGATCCAAGAAAAACCTTTGTGGAGGCACCACCACCACCACCACGACTACTACTACTTCTCCTACTACTCCTACTCCTACTCCTACTCCTACTACTACTACTACTACT